ATGTGAAGGTCAAGTTAACATGAGCGATAATATGAATGGGGGGAGGGGGTGTCATAGCACAAATTAGTATAAATTTTGCGCAATGAATCAGATGCGCATGATGCATAGGATATAAGTTGATTGACACACAGCTTGGTTATTGTCGTGGTTGGTGAATTATCTAAGACACGGACGGTCACGGACAGTAATCCATGACTAGATGCCATGGAAAATAACTGCTACCCAGACTCATCAAGTTAATACTGACTATAGTGCGCAGTGTTTATTACGGTTGGTTATCTGTGCGTACGGTAAAACACAACTGTTCCACAGGGTATGATTTCACCACTGCGCAGGTCTACTGCACAGTCATACCTGATGTCCGGCTTGATAAACAAGAATGAAACAAACAGCGAGGCATTGGCCTGGCTGGCCAGCCTGGATTAGCAAGTTGCCTGGCCTGTATTTAATAATTTTTAAATGACGTCAATCATTCGACAAATTAACAAGAATCATTTCCCAACCGCGAAGATCAAAATGATCAAGGACACCAACCTTCGGAAGTTTCGTCCTTTCAAGATATTTTGTGTTTAAACATTCTCATTATCTGCTCTTTCTTCTCATGTACTTGGCTCACAAGGCAATGTATACGCACGTGAATAAGACACTTGTGTTGATCCTCTGCATGGCCTTCATTGGCTGCAAGCCGAGACGACCAGAGAGTTCACATTAACGTCATTGCTGACGTAACGTCCACTGAACGTCAAGCCACCGGATAGAAGTTATAGGGTTGGCATACTCGCAAGCAGCAATTAATTATATCTTATGACGTTGGTGGCCACCATCAAACAATAACGCGAAGATAATAGATTAACCAATACCGGGTAAATGGGAAAAACCCTCATATGTGCACACTTATGCGTGCCATTATGTGAGTTTTATCGCGCAAGTTTCAGTACGTTGACCGCCGGTGGTATTTACAAAATTATTTAAATTAATTAAAACATAAATTGAAAACTCAAAACATTCCACTCAGTACGGAGTAAATAATTACACAACAAGAAGAATAGCGGGCAGCGAGGGGAAACACAAACACAACCAGTCTTAAACTCGCTGAAAAGGATAATGTACATCGTTGTAAATCTGCCTTTGTGTGTGTTCGAAACAACACCTCCACTTTTGCGGATGGATTTACTCATCAGCTATATTACAACGCCAGCTTAGTTTAGTCCAGCACTTGTTCGATGTTTATATATTTATCTAATCTATACGTTTGTGGATGTGTATACGTTGGCGTGTCTGTCTTCTGTCTGTCTACCTATGCGTGTGCGTGCGTGCGTGCGCGCGTATGTATGTTTGTGTTAGAGAGAGAGAGAGAGAGAGAGAGAGAGAGAGAGAGAAGAAGAGAGAGAGAGAGAGAGAGAAGAGAGAGAAGAGAGAGAGAGAGAGAGAGAGAGAGAGAGAGAGAGAGAGAGAGAGAGAGAGAGAGAGAGAGAG